TTTCCCCAAATATTTGTTTTCATTTCAACACTTTGTCTTTCTTCTAGATTAGACTTGAAAGTTCCTGTTGTAAAAATAAAGAATACAGTCATATCTCTATAGTTGCATTTTTTTTATTTTTGCAGATTTGATTTATTTGCTGTTTTGATTTAAAATAGCCTCTCTTGAAATATCTAGCTGTGACTCTATGGTCAGTTTCCCATAGTCAGCCGAACTGATGGAGTGACCTGCTTCTTGATTCTCCATCTTCTCTAGACATAGCCTTCAGCAATTCTGGGGGAGGCAAGGTCCCATGAAGCTGACTTCTTCACCACACTAATGGTGAATCTGTTTTCTATTAAGAGATCCCCACCCCTAAATGCATTTTCTAATTTTCCCTAGAGAACAAGAAATGCAACATTAAGGGAAGTATTACAGCTGCACAAATACAATCAAGATGTAAATGAAAATTCACATAGTGTGTGTGTAAAAAATGGCCAATAATTGAGTTCAGAAGCAAAATTAGTACAGAAAAAAACTTTGGATTTGAAATAGGGTTATGAACCACTTAAAGAATAATTAATCACTTAAATGCATGAGCGATAATAAGTTCATTAAAGAATAATTAATCTTTGAAATGTATGAGCCATAGTAGGTTATAAGCTAGTTCATTCCTCTGTCTGAGACTGGGAGGAAGACATTTCTAACAAATGTTTTCATGGATCCAGGCCACACCATCCATGTCCACATACCCTTTTCACCATGAAAACCAGTATGCTACTATGTCTTTGTTGATCGAGCTTGTTGATCGAAAGGTCGCAGTTTCGATTCCGGGGAGCGGCGTGAGCTTGCGCTATCAGCCCTAGCTTCTGCCAACCTAGCAGTTCGAAAACTGTTGCTACTTCTGTTGCTACTTCTGACTCCCCTGAATGGCCTTGAGACCCTGCACTTTCAAGCTAGTTTTCTCACAGAGAGAACCATCATTTTCCAGACTTGAGAACCCATCACTTTGTGCTAAATCATCAGTTAAACCATCAACCTCTGGTTGATCTACAACATGCTTATGAAGCAAAGGGTGGAGTTCAAGAGTCGGTAATAATGCCGTGTAGGCAAAAAAACCCCACATGCACATTAAAAATTATAAATTAATTAAAAAGTATTGGTAAGGCATAACTGTGGCAAGAATGCAAAAGTATAAGCAACTAGGTAGCCTCTAAAGACTGACTAGAACAGATTTCCAATGAGACAACATGGCATAAAGATGTAATACGATAAGGACCTAAATCATCCAGTGAAACTGAATGGAGCAGGGAATTTGATCTCAATGGATGTGGTGATCATTATCAACATGGATGGCTGGGGATTAGACAACTTTATGTAGTAGACAGCTCCCAATTGCCAGTCATGATGGTGGCTTCTGTTGTAAGGTTTTCTAGAAAGTAGCCATGTCAGACTGGCTCAGCATAAAAAGAAATAAACAATTATGTTTTCTGCTTACTGTACACCAATTTGTTTTAACATGAGCTTTATTGGATTACACTGCCTCTACTCATTTAGGTAAGCTAATGCTAAATAAATGTTAGTCTCATAGCTTCAACAACACCTCTTTTGGTTCAAAAATTTGCAAGGTTCCACAAGACTCTTCTCTTTCTCTTAGTCAATTCCTCTGTTATGTATTCAATGCATTTCTGAATATCAATTGTTGTGGGGAAAAGTATAAGGTTGTTATTGCCTTAATGGAATCCTTAAAATCTGCCCTGGACACTTTGGTCCTCTGGGAGATGCCTATTCCCACCAACCAGAACCCAAGTGGCAACCATCTCCTGGATGACGTTTTCATCGGCTGCTCCAAGACTGTGGAATGACTTGCCAAAAGATCTCAAACAGCTGTTGGAATTTGAAAGACAGTTGAAAACTTACCTCTTCAAGCAGGCTTACAGAGTCAACTTTTAGCTATAAATTTTAATCTTTGTTCAGTGTATTTTAATATATGTATCTCATAGAAATACAGTTTAATATAGGTCTTTTACTTAATGTTCTAGAATGATGTGCATTTAACTGTGTTGTGCCCGCCTCGAGATAAATTATTATTATTATTATTATTATTATTATTATTATTATTATTATTTTACTGACACAAAAACACAGTATGTCACAGCAAATGAGTGAATCATTTGGGCCACAGAATCATGCCTCTGTTTGTAGTCTGTCTGTGCTATTTTCTTGCAATAGCTGAGAATATGATCCATGGTTTCATCAGCTTCCTTGCACAGTCTGCATTTTGGGTCATCAACTGATGATGATGATGATGATGATGATGATGATGATGATGATGATGATGATGATGATCTAATTAGGAAATTACATTTATAATCCAATTTCGGGAAGCTTACAAAAACATATTTGGGCCCCCAACGAAAGCTGAGGCACGTCAAGGAACAGATCAAGGTTTCCCCTGAATGCACATAGAGTAATTTATTGCAGAGGGAAAAGAGGTAATATACAACTTCAAAAAAACCCACATCATGTTTTCTATTGTACTAGTTCTGTAGAAACACCAGCCTTTCACTGACAGACCTACCTTTTCAACTTTCACTGTACTGACAAAAGTTAAAATATTTCCTGCAGTCCTTATATGGAATATGGAAATGTAGTTTTCTGAATGGGAGCCATAGACAGCAGACAGTGAGCTTCTGAGTGGGTGCGCCTCACCTTACCCCAAAGGCATTAGAGATTGCTACAACCTGCAGAACCAGCTGATGGTATTTTCTGCATCCTGTGCTACAAATATGGGCATCTTCCTCCACAACAATGCATAGCTGGGATTTTTTTTTTTTTGAGGGATGAGTGGTTAACCCTTTGTGGACTAATTGATTTATCCCTTTTATGTGCACAAGAGGAAATGGAAGGTGAATCATTTATTGGCATGTTGTATTTCAATACGAATTTATTCTTTTTATCTCTGAGTCTTATCAAAACAAAACAGGTGAATTGTAATTGCATCTTGATAACTGTGCCTTCTGTTGAGGCTTACCACATGATGGTGTTGCTCTTCTATTGTCGCATTATTGATTTCCTTTCCCAATTCTGCGAAACTCTGATTTTCTGTGCAAATCTCCAATCTTGCTCAGCCTAAGCATAAAATTTAGCTTGTTTTTGATAGAATGCAAAGAAGTAAGTGGCTCTGCCAGTTGTAAGTTGCTAGGAGTTGATGTAATAAGAAATTCAATGTGCAGATTTGATAAATGTGGATTTAATATGATGTGTGGGAATGAATGGAAGGATGTATGAATGGAGTTAATAATTTTGGAGACACCAGTATAATATTAAGGCCTGCAATGACTAACTACCTGCTTGCTGGACTTGCTAATGAGAAACCCTGATAAGAACTGGGACAGTGATAAAGGAAATGTTTGCAACCTTCCTTATGTTAAGAAGGAAATCAACACAAGCCTTGTGTTTGTCAACACCAATCAAGAAGATCAACATTTGGCCAGGAAACTGGGATGGATCCAGAATGGAAGACGTCTATCATTAATTTACAACTTTGGGACTACATCAACAGAATATTCCTATAAAAGACTTGGTCTAATAATGCTCAAATTGTGACCGACCTGAGGAGTCTGGTTCACCCGCTATGCTCTGCTCCATGGGAAGGAGAGAGATAGTGTACTATGGAGTGGCAGATCTGCAAGAGAGCAGTCTGGTCACTTTGGGGCTTCTTTCTCAAGGGAAGAGGAAGAAGTGCGCTTTGGAGTCTTGGATTTTTTGCTGGGAGTCAGGTTCTGCTGTATGGAAAACAAAGATTTGGTCCTTGGCATTGTTCTTAGGGAAAGAAGTTTTGGCATTTTAGCATTTTGAAGTTATGGAGTTATGGAACTAAACATTGGCAGGCTGCAGGAAAACAGGGTCTGGCCTAACAGGTGCTACTCCAAGGAGGGAGAAAAGGATATGGTAATATTTGAATGCCTGTGGATAAGAGCATGTACATGTGCGTGAATGTTGAGTGAAAATGTAATTCCGCTTTGTTTGTTTGTTAACCAATGTAATTGTAAATCCAATGTAGTTGCATAGAATCTGTATGTCTGTGTGTCCAATGTCATTCTTTGTCTAAATGTTTTCTGTAATCTGATATACCTTCTCACACTGGAGATTGCAATAAAAAGAACCTATGCTTCAAAGTTATTCAAAAGTCATTCAGGACATTTACATCCAAAAAAGTTCTTATCCCAAGTTTTCCGGATGGGCCTGTAACAGCCATGACTTCATCTTATTTGTCTTTTCTAGTTTCCTCTTTTGTAGACACCTGCGCTATTAAAAGAAGTCAAGCATTTCCTACAGAGGAAGAAAGAAGCCCTGGCCTTCCTTCTTCCCTGCTGGGTCCTTCTAGCGAAATGTAGTCATCATTGTGACCTGGAGGAAGTGTTGTCACTCACCATCTGTGTGTGCGATCATAGCTAGCTTCACCACACCTTTTTTCCCTACACGGTTTTTGAACTGCCTTTCTCTACCAAGATGTGTTTGAGAACCATATGCCAATTGCTGACGCAAGCATACAGAAACGTGCCATCTATCGCACACATGCATATGCATGCACACATATACGCACCCCACTGATAGTGATGCAACTGGATTCTGCAACAGCCCTCAAAGCCTGGTGCCCTTTCTAAGGGTGCTAGCTAGGCCAAGTCTTCTTGAGTATGATTCATGCATAAGCTGTGATTTTCTATAAAATGCTAATGAGAATGTATAGTTTTATTACAGAACA